ACTGAGAAATCTGAAAAACTAGAAAATTTGAGAAAGCTGAGAAACCTGAAGAAAGCTGAGAAACTTGAAAAAGCTGAGAAAACTGAGAAAATTGAGAAAAGCTGAAAAAAATGTGAGAAAACTGAGACAACTGAGAAACTGAAAAAACTTGAGAAAGCTGAGAAACCAGAGAAAAGCTGAGAAACCTGAGAAGGCTGAGAAAATTGAGAAACCTGAGAACTGAGAAGCGGACTCCTTTGTTTCTTGATTTTTTCCTGATTCCTTTCTTCTGCGCCTGTGTACAGCGATGCTGTCTGAAGTGAAAGGGTGAAAGCCTGACGTCTGAAGAGGGGAGCCATCTCGCTGACAACGCGAGCGCTGAAAACGCCATAGCGCTTGGACGATGGAAAAAACGTGCTGAACGCTTGAAAAACTGTCCTGTGAGCGCTGAAAATCGAAACGATGCTGAGCACTGAAAGCTGGTCGTGGACTGCGATCTGAGCAAGGCGCCCAGCTCTGAAAAGACGTCCAGAAAAAACTGATGCCTGGATTCAGAGGAGGCCCCTGAAAGGCGCGGCGCCTGCAATCTGAAGGCGGCTCAAAAGCTGACTCTTCGGCTGATCTCTGGGGGGCTCATCGTAGCTGCCGTTGTGAGAGTCCTCGCTCCCCTGAGCGCTGCTGTCTGCTCCAAGGACTGACGCGGCCTTCTGGACTGACGCTGCAGGCTTCTTCTGAACCACGAAAGGCTTCTTCTGATCCTTGTGGACTGACGCGGCAGGCTTCTTCTGAACCACGACAGGCTTCTTCTGACCCTTCTGGGCCTTGACAGGCTCCTTCTGGACTGACGCGGCCTGCTTCTTGTGGACTGACGCGGCAGGCTTCTTCTGAACTGACTCTTGAGCCCTCCTGCGAGCTTCCCTGAACCTCTTCGCCCGAAACCTGTTCCTGAGATCGCTCTTCCTGACCCTCTCAATGTAAGCATGGTACTGAGGGTTCTCCTGACGCTCAACCTCCTTGTCGCGGCCCTGAGGAAGCTGATAAAACAGGTCGAACTGATTAGTCGTGTTCTCGCTGTTCTCGCTGCCTGACATTGCCTGAGAAGATAGGCCTGAAGCTTGCCTGAGAAGATAGGTCTGACAGTGCCGCTGCAGGTGGAAGCCTGAAGCTTGAGCCTGAGCCTTCGCGCCAACATGAATCTCCTGAAGTGAGCTATGGAGGAGCTCAGAAATTCCAGAGAGACTGAAACCCTTGCGTCGAGGCGTGCTAAGAGGCCTGCCTGGGAGCCTGCTTAGAGGCCTGCTCAGGAGCCTGATCAGAGGCCTGCGTCTGCTTAGGCCTGCTCAGGAACCTGCTCAAAGGTTTGCTTCGGAGGTCTGAGAGGCCTGCTTGGGGGCCTCTCTGAAAGACCTGCTGAGGACCCTTCCCAAAGAAGCTTTCCCTGCTCCTGCTTCTCCTGCTTTTCCTGCTCATGTTCCTTGTCTTGCTCCTCCTTCTCCTCTTCTCTTCCTCCTCCTTCTCCTCCTTCTCCTTCTCCTTCGCCTATTATTGCTGCTCCTCCTCCTCCTCCTTGTCCTCCTTCTCTTCCTCTTTTTCTTCGATTTGTTTCTTTATTTTTTCCGAAAAGAGTTCTATTGCAAAGCCCTTCGAGAAATTGATTTTCATCGGCCGTCCGAGGGGGAGGTCCACGAGAGGGTATCCCGCCCCCCCCGCACCGTGGCGTTATCTTAGCACCCGGCCGCACGAAAAAAACAATCCAGTTCTATTCCTGCGGGTGTCCGAAGGATTCCTAAGGATTCATCTAGGATTCTTAAGGGTTCCCTTACGATTCCTGCGCGTTCCTAAGGCTTTCTATGGATTCCTCCGGATTCCAGAAGACTCTTTTAAATTCCTAAGGGCTCGTCAGGAATTCCAGGGGATTCCCCATGAATTTAAGGATTCCTACAGGTTCCTCAGGATTCCTGAGGATTCCTAGAGATTCCTAAAGATTCGTTCTCCTTCTCTTCCTCCTCCTCCTCCTCCTCCTCCTCCTCCTCCTCCTCCTCTCCTTCCAGTGCTTCAGACTTGTGAGCGACGCTTCAATCTCACCAGCAATCCAATCTGACCTGGGCAAGACACAGAACAATCTGCCGACGATCCGTTTTGAACTAACTGGAAAAGCTGAGAAACCTGGGAAAGCTGAGCAACCTGGGAAAGCTGGGAAACCTGGGAAAGCTGAGAAAACTGAGAGAACTGAGAAACTGACAAACCTGAGAAAGCTGAGAAACTTGAGAAAAGCTGAGAAACCTGAGAAACCTGAGAAAAATGAAAAAACCGGAAAACTGAGAAAGCTGAGAAAACTGAGAAATCAAAAGAGAAGCTGAGGCGCGACTGAGGATTTGCTAGGAAGCTGAGAATTGGCGAGTGAGAGCTCCGAAAGCTGACAAAAACGAAGAAACCTGAGGAATAAAGAACGCGGGAGAAGCAATGTGGTTGCTTTTTGGCAGTGGGATGCTGAACAGCTGATCTCTGAGGCGGTTACTGATTCCTGACGCAGGAATCTTGAAAGAGACGGGCGGCGGCCTCAGGCTGAAATTCCCTGAAATCTGAAAGCACGCCCTTAGCAACGCCTGGACTGGCAAAAGGCAACGAGGAGGTGGGGGAGGACGAAGAGGGAGAGGAGACGGAGGAGTTGGTTGCGAGGGAGCAGGAAGAGGAGGAGAAAGAGGAGAGCGAGAGAGGAGGAAGGAGTTGTTGCAGCATCAGTCCTGGCGTGCCACCTGAAAAACTGAACTCGAGGCTGAAATGGCCTTCGCTGAAGGAAGCCTGCCCTGAGCTGCGCCAGGCCTGAGGAGTTCGCCGCGGCAGAGTAAGAGGAGGGAAGAAGGCTGAGAAAACTGAGAAACCTGAGAAAGCTGAGAAAACTGAGAAACCTGTGAAAGCTGAGAAACCCGAGAAAAGCTGAGAAACCTGAGAAACCTGAGAAAATTGAGAAAGCTGAGAAACCTGAGCAAAGCTGAGACACCTGAGAAAGCTGAGAGAACTGAGAAAGCTGAGAACTGAGAAATCAAAGGAAGCTGAAACTGAGAAAACTGAGAAACTTGAGAAACCTGAGAAAGTTGAGAAACTCGGAGAAACCTGAGACAGCTGAGAAACTTGAGAAAGCTGAGAAGCCTGAGAAAAGTTGAGAAACCTGAGAAAACTTAGAAAACAGAGAAACTGAAAAACTGAGAAAGCTGAGAAAACTGAGAAAGCTGAGAACACGGAGAAACCAATACCGCTGACAGAGCTGCTCATCTGCACATGCCCCTGAGCACGCTCTGAGTGCTCATCCTCCACCAGACGGGCGGTTTCCCATGCCTGATGCTGTACCTGAGTGCGTGCTCATAGCTGCACGCGACGCAGCCTGAGCTCCACTCACACTTAGAGCAAATCTGCACTGTCTGAATCATTTTCAAGTGGCTGACGTACGACTGACACTCCTCAGCGTTCGGGTTGGTGAACTGAGCTTGGTCGAATGTTGCCTGGAGAACTGGCAATGGCAAATTCCTGAGCCATTTCTCAAAGCCCTTCTGGCCCTTCACCTTTGGGTCTGACGCCGCGAGCTCCGCCTGAGCAGCGGCCTTGTCCTGAGGCTCCTGGGGCGCCTCCTCCTGGGCCTCCTGCGGCGCCTCCTCCTGAGCCTCCTGGGCCTCCTGGGGCGCCTCGGCCTTGTCCTCAGCCTGCTCCGCCTGGCCCTTCTGGAGCGCCTCCTCCTGCGCCTGCTCCTGGGCCTCCTCCTGGGCCTCCTCCTCTTGGGCCTCCGCCTGGCCCTTCTGGAGCGCCTCCTCCTGGGCCTCCTCCTGCGCCTTCTCCTGGGCCTTCGCCTCAGCGACCTGCTCCTGGGCCTCCTCCTGGGGCGCCTCCTCCTGGCCCTTCTCCTGAGGCGTCTCCTTGTCCTTGTCCTGGGTCTCCTCCTGAGGCGCCTCCTCAGCAGCCTTCGTCTGAGCGTGACTCTTGCCAGCAGGTTTGGGAGCCTTGCTCGACGCCTGGGAACTGAGATTCCCAATGATTTTCTGAACGGCGTCCTTGACTTCCTGCCTCAATTGTGCATTCTCTTCTGCCTTCAGCCTCTTCCTGACCTCATTCGGATCCTCAGGAATCTGATCTGGAAGCGAGCTGATCCAAATGCTGACGAGCGCCGCTTCCTCAGCTCTCCTTTTCAGCTCTGAGGCCTCTTTCTCATCGCTCTGAGCCTTCGTGGTCTTCGCGTGAAGGAGTGTCTGCGCAGCCAGGCGCTTCGCGTTCTCAAGCCTGGAGTCCTCGAGCCAGCTGAGCCGGGCTTTCTCGAGTTGCCTCACCGCGCCGAGACACTTACTGATCATGATTTTCTTTCTCTCCTTAGGCGTGGTTACTGAACCGTTGCCTTCACCTGACAGCCTCCTCACCTCGAGCTCAATGTAATGCATGACCCAGTATCCGCAGTCCGCTCCAGCCTGCCTGAACTTCTGATGCCTCGTGAGCGCGCTCACGAGTGAGTTCGCGCTCAATTCTGGGAATATCGCCTGAAGAATCTGAAGAGCTCGCTCCTGACACACCTCATTTGCCCTGTCTAAGGTTTCGTAATATCTGATCTTCGGCTCACTGAGGCTGATTCCGTTCTCCTGCAGGAGCCAGGTAGCCTCCTCCTCCACCTCCTCCTCCTCCTCCAGCGTTTGGCGCGGGAGGAGGAGGAGGAGGAGGAGGAGGAGGAGGAGGAGGAGGAGGAGGAGGAGGAGGAGGAGGAGGAGGAGGAGGAGGAGAGGGAGGAGGAGGAGGAGGGGGCAGGAGGAAGTTCGTGGGTGGAGGAGAGGAGGAGGATGAGGAGGAGGACGAACTTGGAAGGGAGATGGGAGGAGAGGAAGGAGGAGGGCTCCTGGTGCCAGGTAACGCTTCCAGGGTGCGGAAGGGTTATCGATTTGCCGGAGGGGGGGGGTTCTTAAATGCTTCCTGGTACGCTGCGCCGAGGGGCGTCAAGGAACTCAATGCTCTCCACTGCGTGCCGTTGGCACAGGTGCGGATTTGAGTCGCGGAGGCGCATGCGCAAGGCCGGCATCACGAATTACACCATTCTGCCACCCTCCCACCCACTGCTTCCCAAGCTGAGAGCGAAAATGGACTGGGTACTCGTTGACGCGCCGTGCTCTCAGTCGGGCGCGATCCGGAGGAACCCCGACATGAAGTGGGCGTACAGCGACGACCGCCTCTGGCGTTGGGTCGCGCAGCAGAGGGAGATCTTCGAGGCGGCGCTGAAGTACGTCAAGGACGACGGGAAGATCGTCTACGCGACCTGCAGCGTCCTGGACGAGGAGAACGCCCAGCAGGTGCGCTTCTTCTGCGAGAAGTTCGGGCTGTACCCGCCGCCGGCCTCAACCCGCCCCTCCCAGACGTCTCCTGGGCCGCAGCCTGGCGAGGATTTCGAGGCGGATCCGGCCGTGGCGATGGGGGCCGAGGACATCCGCGGACCCCGGAGCTTGATATCCTGTCCTCCGACGCCTCCCGTGCTTCGTCTGACGCCGCGCCGTGTGTTCCGACGCGCGGCCTTCCGTCTCCAGGGCTTCTTTCGTCTCCTCCGCTTCGATTCGATTCGAGTTCGACGGCCTCCGATTCCGCTGCCGATTCGGCTTCGGAGTCCGATCTGGGTGCCGACTCCTCGACGGAGGCCTACTGGCCTGTCGACTTCTGCCGATTCGACTCCTCCCGACTCGGCTGCCGATTGCTGCCGATCCGACTCGTTTCGATCGCCGATCCGACGTATCGGTTCGTTCCCGGGCTCTCCCCGCGTCTCGTGGCGGGCGATTCGGCCACCAGGGCACGCAAGCCGCGGGGGGGCTGACGCCGTGGGGTGTGCCGCGTGGCGGCGCCGCCGTCGCCTCGGGGTGCGGGACACCCAGGGCTCTCCTCTGTGGGTCTGCCGGTGGCGTCGGCGTCGTCCACTTGGGCGCTCCTCCTCCTCCTCCTCCTCCTCCTCCTCCTCCTCCTCCTCCTCCTCCTCCTCCTCCGCCCCCTCCTCCTCCACCTCCTCCCCCTCCTCCTCCTCCTCTTCCACCTCCTCCTCCTCCTCCGCCTCCTCCTCCTCTGCCGCCGCCTCCTCCTCCTCCTCCTCCTCCTCCTCCTCCTCCTCCTCCGCCCCCTCCTCCTCCACCTCCCCCTCCTCCTCCTCTCCCACCCTCCCCTCCTCCTCCTCCTCCTCCTCCTCCCTCCTCCGCCCCGCCTCCTCCGCCTCCTCCTCCTCCGCCGCCTCCTCCGCCTCCTCCTCCGCCGCCTCCTCGTCCTCAGACAAACGGCGCGCAAGCCCGTCCCGACGGCCATCCGGCCGCCGTTCCACCCCACATGGATTTTCGACAGGCCCGGGGCCTGAACGGGGCCTCCGGAGACCGGGAAAGTCCTCCTCCTCCTCCTCCTCCTCCTCCTCCTCCTCCTCCTCATATTCCTCCTCCTCCTCCTCCTCCTCCTCCTCCTCCTGCTCCTCCTCGTCCTCCCTCGTCCTCGTCCTCCTCCTCCTCCTCCTCCTCCTCCTCCTCGTCCTCCTCCTCGTCCTCCTCCTCCTCCTCCTCCTCCTCCTCCTCCTCCTCCTCCTCCTCCTCCTCCTCCTCATGGCGCGAGGGAGCCGACGCAGGTTGGGAGGACGAGGGGGCCAGCGTAGACTGAGGCCCTCTTGGCGTCCTCGGCCCCAGGGCGTATAGGCGGATTTCGTCGGCGCTGAGGGCCGAGGGGTGCCAGGGGCCCGCCGTTGGAGCCAGCACCACCAGGCAGACGAGGAGAAGGTACCCATACCTCTGCCCCCCAGCCCGTTTTCCCGTTTTGGGGCCTCCTGGGCGGCCCTCGTCGTCATCGCTGGATTCGCGTCGAAATCCTCGTCAGAACGCACTCCAGGAGAGGTCCGGGGAGTAGAGGTATCGGTCCTTCTTGGTTTCCCCAACCAGAGCCCTCAGAGCCCTCAGAGCCCTCCTCCTGCCTCGTCGTCTTCGTTGGAGGTGGCACAGCTGTTCGATGTCGACTTCGTGTGGCGGGCGAGCCTTCGCCAAAGGGAGACGTGTAGCGAATGGTTGGGACAACGCCCTGCCAGCCCATCCGTCTTCGCAGCGGCTGCGCCCCGCAACACCTGCGTTGCCCTTTGCTCTTTGTCTGTCCTGCTCCAGGGCAACTTCCGACGATCGAACATCGGAACCTCCTCCTCCTCCTCCTCCTCCTCCTCCTCCTCTTCCGCCGTGCTCTCTCAGAGCCCAACGTCCCGAACATCTGTGAATGTCGAAACTGCAGGGTTAGCCCTCATTCCAGAACCCCTTCTCTCGGAAACTGGAGCGTAATACCAGTGGCGGGCTTTTTGTCAATCCCAGGAGTTTTTGAGGATCGGGGACGACGTCGGAGTGGTGTGGTGTATGCTTTTTCCCCGCTTTCCCGGGGAAACACCGAAACATGTATACACCATGATCCCGTATACACCAGAATCCGCTTTCCTGTGCACATGTCAGTGCAAGGCTAGAAAAAGCGTCGGTGTATATATGTAGAGGACGGTTCCCGATTCTCTTCCACTCCTGAAGAATTCTCTCCTCCAGGAGCGGAGGCTTGACCTCCAAGGTGGAGACCCTGGGCCCACCTGGGCGCTTCCCCCCTAGATTTCCGACGCCGTGATATTTTATTCGCGTGGGCCCCCCAGAGGTCCGGACTCCTTCAGAAGGGCCAGTTTTTCATCCCAAGGTGCTTTGTTGACGGTCTTGGTGCCTGGTAACCCTGTGCCCCGGATAATAATGTACCCCCCTCTTCCCTCCTGAGTCTCTTTTTTCCCGTGTCAATAGGATTTAATTGTGGAGAGGGGTGCGGATGCCGAACTTTCACCGGGGGAAGTTGTGAATCGAAGTTGCTACCATCTTATGTTGACTAGCAACAGCATCAAAAACGCTGAGCATGGCAATGGTGGTCTCACCATTTCAGCTTCCGCAATCACGAGCGCGTGGCAGGGCTATGGGGTTCTCACCATTTCAGTTTCCCAAGTCACGAATGTGCGGCGAACGAGGTCGTGCGCAAGAGAGGTTTCTTGGCCAGGAGCGCCAAGGGCCTTTCTTGCGGAGGCAAGTTGTAGCCACGAGACTCGAGATATCTCGAGTCAGTCGTGTGCCAAGTTCTACAAGGTCAGTCTACACGAGCGCCCAGCATCATCATCATCATCATCATCATCATCATCATCATCATCATCATCACCATCATCATCACCATCATCATCATCACCTTCGCCGGGAAAATCGTTGATTATCCCCGCCAGACCCCCGATTTTTTTGAATCCCCCGGGGATTATTATCGGGAGCACAGGGTTAATCACTACCCACCAAGCTACCCTAATGTTGGCGCTCCGCGCGGATTCCTTGGATCCGCGCCAAAAAGGTTATATTTATGCTATTTGTTTTTCCTTCTACCACCTTAACCCGAAGGCTTCAAGGTGCCTTCCATTCTCTGTGGGGGGGGCATCCTGGAACAGGGGAAACAGACAGATGGAGTCCGCACCCCCCAAGCCCGAAATTGGGAACTTTGGGTTGGGTTGGGGTGGTCTGGTATAGGCAGTCAGGCAAGAACCCCCCGAGACTGAAAAGAGCCCACAACTTTCCGCCGGAGTGGCCCAGATAGCCAAGAGTTGGAAGCTGGAGGCCGAGAGTCGCCGAAGAGGCCGCACACGCCTTCACGTCGCGAGGGGGCCTCGGCCTGGAGTCGGCGGCGAGCGAGGGGGGGAAAGTGAGAAGAGGGGCAGGCCGCCTTCGCAGAAAGCTCGGAAGTCACCCGGCCTCCGGGGAAATTGTCTGAGCCTCCCCCGAAGACGCAGAAGACCTGTCAGAAGGCGCGAGGGCTTCTGAGAAGCCCCGCTGCCTTCTGAGAAGGCCTTCTCTTTCGCACTTCCCCCCCCCTCGCCCGCCGCCGATGGAGGGACCCAGACTCCCCCGACGTCGTATCTGTTCACGACGGCGACCCCCAGAGGTCTGGACCCCTTCCCCGGCACCGGTTTTTCGTCGCATCGCATCGCCAGCGGCACGCAAGCTGTCTGAACCACCACGGGGCGCCTTCGCACCTCGTGGCAAGCATCTGGACGCCTGCTGCTGAAAGCTGCGGCCGAAAAATTGGTTCCATCACGGTTCCACCCACGAGTGGACGGGACGCTCAGGCCGAGGGGCTCTGCAGCAGCACTGGTTTTCGACGGCCCCGGGGACCGGCGAGGGCACCCGGGAGGCCGACACAAGCAGCGAAGAGCTCCCGGCCGTGACTGTGCTCGCAGCGCGAGGGGGGTCTAGGAAGCCGCGTGTCCATAGGCACGCGAGCAATGGCGCGAGCGTGCGCTCGACAGTACACTTGCGCACTGCCGCTCTCCAGGCCTCTGGTTGTCAAGGCGCCCACACTACTCATGTGACAACCGACATCACGACAAGTATGCTGCGCGTGTTTACGCCACTCTGACGCCCACGCCTGCCGGGGCCTGCCCCCCTTTCGGCGGCCGGGCTGCTGAGCCAAGTCGGAGGAGGAACGTTGGACGACGACCTACCTGACGAGACATTTCCCAGAGCCGCCAGATTTGTGTTCGTTTTCTCGTTCATTGTTTTGCCGATTGGCGCGGGCCCTCGCCCTCCCCCCCCCCTGCCCCCCCCTGGAGTAGATCTTGGCTGTTTTTGGCGCCTATGTCGAGCAGGTGGAGTCTCTCCCCTAGGACGCACCCCTGCAAAGAATCGCAGTAAGCAAAGGTCTGGAGCCAGACCCCTCCCCCTCCCCTTCCGCCCAATGTCGCAACGCCGAATAAGAAAACGCTCACCTTCAGAGACTCCCGATTCATCCTCACCCGAAGTTGTCCTCGCCCTGGCCTCGTCCTGCTGGAGGTACCTGAGCCGGCCGCCGCTGCACGCGCTGCCGCAGAGCCGGGGCATGGACGGCTTCTTCTGCGCGACCATGGAGCGGCGGTAGGGGGCTGCGGCCGCCGCGGCCGCGGGGCGCAGAGAGCACCCCCCCGAAAAAGGCCGCGGGTGGTGCCGGGCGTGCGGCGTTCTTGCCGCCATGCTTCAGGGCAACGGACGGTGGGGGGGGGGCCAGGCAGAGAGTCAACCCGCACCGGTCAGGAAGAGCGACTTCCCGAGGTGAGCTTTGCATCCTCTTTCCCCTTCGGCCCACCCTGGGCCGCTTTCGCTGGCCGCGCCCCGCTCGCAAAGTGCTGGCATGGCCTTCCAAGGCCCTTGCATCTGTATCGTTAGGGGGCCACACGCGAACCCTACCCCTGCCCCCCACCCTCCCCCTCAGAAAATCGTGGGTGGTAGGGGTAGGGTTTGCATGTGGCCCCCTAATCGTGCGCCCGTATCGTGCTGAAGCATGGGCAGCGGGTGTTGCCAGGCGTGCTGCGTTCGTGCCGCCCTGCCTCAGGGGCAACGATCGGGGGGGGGGGGAGGCTCGAGGTTTGAGCGCCAAGGTCTGAGGGTTCGAGGTCCGAGGTTCTCGAGTGTCTTCGTCGGCCCTCGGCGGTGTTCCAGCTTCGGGATGCGCTCCAGCGGCTGCCCCTCGCCGAGAGCGTTCCCGGTGGTGCCCGGATCGTCCCGAGCGGCCGCCCGAGAGCCGAGTCATGGCCCGAAAACCATGGGGCAGCGCCAGGGTGGGGATGGGCACAACGGGGGGGACGCATCGACCCCCAAACGCCCATTGATCGCCGGCAGGGGCCCGATGGCCCCAAGCTGCCCAGGAAGAGGCGGATTTGCCATCGGAGGCCTTTTGCCGAACTATCGGCGACGTATCGCCGATTCTAGGTCGATGGTTCCCTCCTTATGCCAGACCCCCCAAGGGTCGCCCCTCAGGGGGAGGTCCAGCAGGTCGGTGTCCCACTCCGGCCGTGATCAGGCTGCGCCATCCCTGAGCAAATCCGTGCAGAAGCCGTCCAACAGGCATGCCAGCACTTGCCCCCGCTGTCCGCGACCAGAATTTGGCAAGCGGCTTCGCAGCGAGAGCTCGGACAGTCGGCTGACTGCTAATACATTGCGGGAAACTGAATTTCACAGCGAGAGCTCGCCGCACCGGGCTAACGTTTCGCCCTCCTCGGGGCTCTGAGCCAAACCGACTAACCACGATGCGCATGCAACCGCGTGCAAAACGAAACGGAAGCGGCGCATGCGCAGTACGGTCGGACAGAGGTGTAAGATCGAGATCGGCTCGGGGAGGGTGCACTAGCGTTCTTCGTGTCTGTCGTATGCTCTCATGAATCCTGGGGGAGGGTACCCTCGCAGGGGGTCTTATGGGGTGTGTTGGCTGGCTGAGGGTCTCATGGTTTTTGAAGGAGGCTGTTCTGTTATGTCCTCGGCCCAGCCTTCATCTTACCATCATCTCCGAGCTCGCGGGTAATCCTCCCGTGGCACTCTTCGCTTTGTGGAGGGCCCCATGCTCTTGAGCGGTGCTCTCCTGCCCTGCAGGCCCGACGGTCAGTCATGGCGGGACGCGTCGCCACGACGGCAAGCTCCTCTCGAGTTGCGCGGGCCTCTGGCCCCGGGGGTCTCCCCGGGACCGGCTCTGGCTCCTGGACGTCTTGGCCGACAGCCCCCAGGGGCCCGCAGGCGGCGGCCAGTCCTCCTCCAGGGCCCGCTGCTCGCCTGCCGGACTCGGGGAGCATCAGCGGTTGGGGCCTCTCCGGGCCCTCTTGGGATGCCCCTTGAGGCCTCGGGGGGTGCCTTGGGAGGCCTCTGGGGCCGTCTTGGGGCCGTCTCGGGCGTCTCCGAGCGATTTTTCGGCGACTCGGAGCACTCTTGGACCATCTTGGGGTCTCTCGGGGCTCTTTGGGCCCGTCTTGGAGCCCTCTTGGGCACGCGACAAGCCGCAAGGAACCGCGACAAGCCCAAGAAGATGTGGCAATTTGGGGCCCCAGGCCCCTTAAAGACTCTCCTCAGGAGGATTGAGGCTCAGAGGATTCGGCAAAGGACCTGAGGACACGCCCACTCCTCCGTACCGAGCGGCACGGTGGCGGATGACACGCCTTGAGACATCTTAAGATCAATCATAAACTGTCATGAGCTCCAGATCTCGTTCAAGAAAATCAACAATCTGGACTGGACCCTTGGCGTTTTCTTGGAGCCCCTTTCTTCGCGGATAGTTCGTATATCTGGACCTGGGCTGCTGCTTGAGAAAACCCTTGGGAGCGAAGTCCATCCTCTCAGCGTGCAAGCCTCTCAGCTCGAAGCAGGGGTACACGGCCGTGAAGGTCCACAGCCCGTGGAAGGCTCACCCAGCAGTGGAGGTAGGCCCCGAGGTGTGGCGCCGTCTGCCGCCCGCATCCGCCTCCGCATCCGCCCGCTCGCGTGCGTCCGCGCGCGCGCGGCCGCGGCCCAGGGCACCGCCTTCCCGCAGCACCTCCCCGACTTCTCCGGGGCCATGTGCGGCCAGGCCTTCCTCCCTTTCTTCTTCCTGACGGCCCTGGCTCCTCCTCTTCCTCCGCCTCCTCCTCCTCTTCCTCCTCCTCCTCCTCCTCTTCCTCCTCCTTCTCCTCCTCCCCCTCCTCCTCCTCCTCCTCCTCCGCCTCCGCCTCCGCCTCCGCAGGTCCGCCGTACTTTGGTTGATTCTTCGACTTCCGCGTAGCGTGTCGCAGGGGCCGCCGCCGCCGCAAAACGCTAACCGTAAGATCGTGCCGAAAATGCACCACAAACGATGCGAACAAGTAGGGCGGAAATGTCAGCCCCGGAAAAATACAGCGGATATTTGTCGCAAAAGTTTGGCGGAACCACGGACAGCAAAAGTATGGCGGAACTCGACATCAAGGAGCCCCAGGAGGCCGAAAACTGGCAGAACACCTCCCGTCGTGATTATTCCTTGGGGATATCATAAGAAGGGTGTCTGGGTAGACGTCCCCCAACTCCTGATCAGCCAAGTCTCCTGGAAATCCGTCTTGAGTTTATCAACCTCCCCCACCGGTTGGGCGGCGCGCCCCGCGGGGAAATGTATTGATGTTGTTTTCGGCACACCCCCGCCCCCAACGAAGGGAACCGCTGGGGAATTCGGCGCTTGCGGAATGCACGGCGCCGGGCCGTGATTATCATTTTCCCGCCTCGCCCCCGCCAGCCCGGCGACGCGTGGGGAATCGTGCGTGCAACCGACGCGGATTTGATGGAATGCTCGAGTGCCGCATCCGCGCGTCGTCGTCGTCGTCCTCTTCTTCGTCCATCGTCGTCCGTCGTCGTCCGTCGTCGTCCGTCGTCGTCCGTCGTCGTCGTCGTCGTCGTCGCCGTCGGCCACCGTTGTCGGCGGCGGCGGGCCCTCGCAGCTGCTTCCGGGGCGAACGGAAGGTCACAATTCTGCAGCCCACCGCGCCCCTTGCCGCGGAAGCGATGTCCGGGAGTCGGCGGGGCCCCCCCCGCGCCCCGGCTGTGCCACACTCCCGTATCTCTGGCCACGATGCGTCGGGAATCCGTGGTGACGCTGTTCTGTTCCGGTCGCCCGCCCCTTCGCGAACCGCCGCGCGCTCGGGGGATGCGCCCGAGTCGGCCAGCCGCTTCATAGTTTGGATGGGCCCACCTCAGGCCAGAGGGGTTTCTGAAAGGGCCGACGTGGATACCTGTTGTCACGCACTCGACGCGGAGATCCCCGTATCTGTATGTTTCTCGCACGTCTCTCTCTGCGGGTACATGTCAATGAGCGTTTGTGTGAGAGAGAATCGTTTGCTCGAGACACCCCCGCACCCTGCAATTCTAAGTGCGAGTGGGTCGCAAGTGCGAACACGAGTGAGTCTGAGAATGAGCGAATCTGAATGCGAGTGAGCCTGAATCCGAGTGGGTCTAAGTGTGTGTAAACGAGCGCGTTTGGGTGCGAGTGGGTCTGAGTCTGGGTGAGTCTGAGTGTGAGCGAGGTCTGTGATGTTGAACGAAGATCGGCATAATGGATCTGAGCGTGCGTGAGTCTGAGTGTGAGTCTGAGTGCGAGTGATTCTGAATATGAATGGGCCAGTGTGCGAATCGAAGTGTGGGCAAGTCTGAATATGATTGCGCCTTAAGGTGGGCGAGCCTGAGTGCGACAGAGTCTGGGTGTGTGTGTGTGTGCGTGAATGAATAAATGAATGAATGAATGAATGAATGAATGAATGAATGAAAGAGAAGAGGGGGAAGAGAGGGAGGTGAGGCGGAGGCGTTTCAGTAAAACTTCTCAATCGGCTCCCCTTTGGGGTGCTGGAACATGCGCCTCGTTCGGCACACTTTTTCAATTAGCCTGGTCGCACATCCTCCTTCCCTTCCCTCCTCTTGTCCGTCATCATTCCCCTCCTCTTCCGTATTTCTCGTCCTCCCCTTCTTCCTCTTATTCTTCCTTCTCCTCCTGCCAGTGCCTCGCACATCCTCGCGCGTTGCCATGAAAACAGCGCCTCGCTCGAGACATCCTCACAATCTGCTCCGAAACACACACACACACACGCGCACACACAGGCACACGCACACGCACACACACACACACAACACACACACACAACACACACACACAACACACAACACACAACACACAACACACACACGCACACACACGCACACACACACACGCACACACGCACACACACACACACACACGCACACACACACACACACACACGCGAGCCACCAAACAGGCAAACCGCTCGAGACATCCGGACGTGAAGAATGAAGTGCCTTCAACCCTGGCGGCTCTTTTTTGCAGGGCCCAACTTCCACGCCTGCTGTATCGCGGTGGGCATTGGACAACCAAAGACGGCTGGGGGACGAACCATGCAAACCGCTTGAGATATCCCCACGATCTGGGCCCGAGTCTTGGGGTGTCGTGATCCCTGGCGCCCCCCTTGGCCTGCCCAGATGCCACGCCTGCTATATCGCGGTTAGCATTGGACAACCCAAAGAGAGATATCTGGGGGCTGAAACAGGCGAACCGCCTGAGACATCCCCACACTCTGAGCGCGAACGGGCAAGTGAGATACAGACATGGCG